CTCAAATTCCATAAATTACTCACCAAATGCTGGTTATTGAACAATCGCAAGGTGTCTGTGTTGGGTCTTTGTGCGGCTTTGCTCCACAAATGGAACCTATCACTTCCAACGAATACGGCTTCTCTCCTTCCCCTTCCACTGCTTCGTCTTTTCACTGTTTCAAAATCCACGCCTTTGCTCCTTCCACTCAAAATAAATACTTTTTCACGGTTTAGATAGTGGAGTTGCGTTCAACCGTCGTTCACCTTTGCCTTCAACCGTCGTCACCCGTTGCCTTCAACCGTTTCTCAGAGCTTAGCGGTTTCTCTCAGCTATGAGTTTGAGATCAATGGGTTTTTTCTGTTCAAACTTCGAACTTGCCTCTTTTTTTTTTTTTTTTGGGACCAACTTCATTGCTGGATATTAAATTCGGGTTTGGGTTCCTCACCTACCCGATTGCACAATTTTACCCCAATTCTCCCCAGCCCTTGGATTGATCCAATGACTATAAAGTGAACCCCTTATAACTTACCCCTCATAACTTACCCCTCATTATAGTCTGACCGACTGGAAGTTCTCCTAGGCTGCGACAAAATCGGCACCAAATTAGAAACAACCCAAAAACGGCCCTTGTGGAGCGAGAAGTGGGCCCATTTAATATCTTTTTAGCAAAACTGGAACTGGCATACATTTCGGGGAAATTTGTAAACTTACAGCCGAGAGAGAGTGAGACCATGAACTTTCGATTATTAATTGAATATTCTGTACACATTACACTAAGCAAAGCTATAACCCAGCATCCTTTCCATCTACAGAAATTTAATTTACTTTGAACACATTTATCACCCTAAATTTTGACATTCAAAATGGCAATGACTTATCACCCAGCATCTGCCTGCTAACATAAACATCACCCTCGCCACAAACCAAGAGCACCCAACAAGGAAAATTGACGCAGATGGACCTATTAGGCATATACCAAAAGACCCCTTCGCTTGTGTATCTTTATCTGCCATACATTCAAATACTTCGAATCGTGTCCACTCGATCAATGACATCTAAAGCTTTGATCCGGTCGATATCAAAGTCAATGACCGGAACGGATGATGGCCTCCTTATGGGAAATGGATCCTTCCTACGTTCACTTGTTGGGGAGTGATTACTACTCTTACTCAGCCTATTATACTTGCTGAATCTGTTCTTTGCAGTGTCAAATTCCTGACTCTTACTAATGCCAGGCGTGAGTTTTCTCTTACTTACATATCGAAGCATTTCTTGGTCCTCAACTGTTAATATGGGGGATGGACAGTTGGGTTTGTTCGTCGATAACTGAATTGCCTTCTGGTTTGGGGAGCAAAGAGGGGATTTAACAGGAGATCTAATTCCACCGTTTCCAACCCTCACTTGGCTGACCAGATGATGAAGCCACACCACCAGTTCGAGAATGTAAAACTCAGTTTTACTTTTATCAGCATGGTGTAGTGTCTCAATCCTCAGCAAGTCGGTCTGACCAGCAGGTTTTCGGTTCATCTCAGACCTAAAGAATTACAACAACAAATAAAATTAGGAAAATATTCAGGAGCAATACGCAAATGAAACGGCACCTGCGGTTCAGAACTCACCCAGTGTTTGCCCATTCTCCAACCCAACCAAAGCCATGATGAGCTCTAAATAAATCACAATGCCAAAAGAAGCAATCAATAAATACGATTGTAGGAAAATCAACAGAGGTTACAAAAAGCTATGTTAGTATATTTGAAGAACAGGGGACAATAAAAAAATTTGAATACTATGTCAATCACTCCACTTGGAGGGACAAAAGAAAAACTAGTAGTATTCTTCCTCTTCATTAATTCAACCAGAGATTCGCAAAACTATAAAAAGAACCAGAAAAATAAAAAAGCTTTATCTAAAGGCTTGATGCTTTACTTGGTTGTGTTAGTGGCAATGGGAACTAGCCACTGCAATGTTTTCTCCATTTCAGCTTTGATTTCAGGGACAGTATGCTGCGAGAACAGTTATGAATCAGTACAAAGATGGGCAAACAAATAATAACTTAGTGTCAAGTGGAAAAATAAAAGTTTTGGGAAGTTGTTAATAATCCATGGAGTAAATAAACTATAGATACCTCTTCCTTAACCTGAAATGACTGTAGCTTTGAGCGCAAAGCTGACTTTACACCAGGTGGCAGCCCCTGATATAAATTATCCCGTGTGTTCGGAGGCACAGAACTTGATCGAGACACCTGGATTCAGATGTTAACCCAGAAGCCATGACCCACATGAGATGATATAAAGCACAAAATTCCCATTTCTCAAACAACAGAACCATAAAATTCGAATTGAAGAGAAGAATGATCATTGTGCTTTAACAAAAAGAGGAAACTCCCAGTTATTTCCAGATAACTACTATAACCAGCTATTTGCATGTTTATACAGACAATAAAAGAAAAACCCAAATGGAAGAAAGAAAAACTAGTATAAAGATCCCGAATGCCTGTCATAACTGCTCCTCACACCCAGTAGATGCTATTTTCTATCCAGATATTCATATTTGGCCTGTTAGTTTTATCTTGCATACTACTTTTCACGAGTTACAATTCCTAAGCATCAAGTTTTTCTTATTGGGTAATATTAGTTTTATCTTGCATTCTATTATTGCCCAAAAGACAAGCATGCCCAAATTAAGTAAATTGTGAGCAGGACATAAGTCAAATTCAGGCAAGCCACAATAAGCTAAGCTATGTATAGTTGAAGGATGCCCTATTATCACTAAACAACAAGCAATGCCCAAATTATGTAAATTGTGAGCAGGACATAAGTCAAACTCAGGCAGGCCACAACAGGCTAAGATATGTTAGTTGGGCTTACCAATTGACAATATCTAACTTCATGAATTTTAATATACTCATGCGCATTGTCAGATGATCCTATCTTCCATGGAATCCAACAGACAAAATCCAATATCTTTTACCACCACTCTTGAATAACATGAACCCTCCCCATCATAGACACAGCTCACATTTATTACCCCACACAGGCAGTAATGAAGCCAAAGTACAGGAGGGTAATACTTTCATGCTTTACTTAATCAAGAAAAGGCTATGATTTGTGGACAATGACACAAGTATCGTATCAGACACATCAACTTACAATAATATAGACACAACACTATACAGTGATCTCATTTTTTATAGGAAATTTTGATAGAACAGTATATTTTAAAAGAATGAGAAAAATTACAAGCATTCATATTCTTCTTGACAAAAGATGCAGAATCCCATAATTCTATGTTTTTTGTCTACGTAAATAAAGGTTTCTCTTTCAAACATCTTTCCATTCATGCAGGCGTAAGATGGCATCTTTCCATCCATGCAAAGGTGTGTCCAACAAGAGTAGATACAAAGCATCTTTTCAAGCGTCCCATGTTAGAAAAATAGAATCACAGATTCACAGTGCCACTATTTCATTACCCTATAACAAAGTGAGCTGTTAATAACTTATAACTACAAGAGGATCTAAAGTTTTTTTTTTTGACCTTTTCTTTTTTTATAAGAAAAAGGATCTTGAGATTTGATGGGCAGATTACTTGCTGGGTCAACGTAGCAGTGATTTCCCAGCACCAACTTGTTCAAGTTTGAAATAGATTCTTCTTCGGATTTTAACAATTAACTGAGGACTCTGAATAGGTTCACAAATGACATTGCTCAAAGTATATAGGTCGTTTATTAGGAAGGAAACTGAACTTATGCACACATTCGATGGTTATTAGGAGGGGAAGCAACTGCCTAAAGCAAACAATCCCACAAGGCATAGCACTACTCATTAAAAACTTTAAAGGAAAAGCAGGAACGGAGGCACAGACAGATCTTCAGACTTAAAGAATAAGAGGTTGCTTAGTCCCACAAGAACATGTTCTCGAAAATTGGACTTGGATACAACCCATTCTCACGCTCAAAGTTGGTTGCTCCACTCAAAGCAGACTCGTGAAACATAAAAAAAATATATATATATTCAATTCAAGTCTAAAAAGGTATTGAAACAGAACCCTAGTGGAAAGTTGTATTTGCACCTTTTTCCACAATAGTAGCAGAGTATAACCAGAATAAGTTGTAAAGTCATGATATCACATACTAATGCATTTACAGCAAATGATAAGGAAACGAAAAAATATTTTCACAAAGGTGAAATGCATTTAAGCAATGAAATAACATAAACTCACAAGAGTATCGATTTGAGAGATAATATTTGCATAATGCAATGCAAGACCAGCAGACCCCAACTTTTTGTGATTGTTCTGAACACCTTTCACAGGTTTATCAGTATCTGTGAGACCAGACAAAGAAAAATCCCATAAAATTCAGTAAATAATTAAACATGATGAATAGCTTCGACATAATTGTTAAGCAAAATTAATATTACAAGAGAGGCATGATATTATATGCGGCAGCTCAACCAATATAGGCAATAGATATTAGCATTTCTTTTATATGGAGAATCTCAACAAGTTAACAGCACCAGAGAATAAATCTGTTTCCCGCGTCTATGTACCGTCTAAACATTATTATTATTTTTTATTTACTTAACAAGGTCAACTTTCTACCACAGTTATATGTAATTTGGTGTTAACTTTAATTAAGGTCAAGAAGTGCCCATAACATCTTTCTCAGCTTCCTGCCCTACCCAAGGAGGACTAGAAGGCCTCTCTTAGAAGACCATTATCAGAAATTTCATCCTATATTTTCAGCATACCTGCATTACCAAATGCTTCATGAATTTCCAAATGTAAGAAATGCACAACGTCGACAAGTTTCTCCATGACCTGCAAATATGAGATATTAGGTTGGTTGTAGAACAACTTAAAGCGGAATTCTATATGCATAGGAGCTGTTTTGTAATCTGCTGGCTTCTCTATGATTTTGTTGTATCCGTTTTTCTAGGATGGCATTGGGGGTTGCAGTTTTTGTGTTTTTCGATGTGGACTCCGTGTTCACTATTCTTGTACTTATGTTTTTGTTTCTTAAAAACAGAAGTTCTTGTTTCCTATAAAAATAAATAAATAAAAATAAAAAAGTATTATTTGCACACTGCACCCAGATTATTTGTTCAAAAACCCATACCCTAATATAAAAAACATAAGACTTTAACTTAAGACACCTTAGAATATTCCCAAAAAACCCTACACTAATTCTTTGAAACAAAAAAAAAAAAAAAAAAAAGTTCAAAAACATGAAGTATCCCATCACTGGCCTTGTTTTCTAATTTTTACATAATAAATAAACTTTTTCTAAGTGGTTTATTAGGGTTAAGTGTGTATAACAATCCATCTTAGTAACTTTAAAGAGGAGTATTTTTGCTATCTAAGTTTTCATTGAAAGGTGGGTGTATTGAGAAGTTTCTAGCTGCAAATGGAAGCTATTATTTTTATTACGTGACTCATAAAATATATTGCATCCAGTTTTTAAGTGCTATATTCGATTCAATTAAGAAGAAAACTTAATTTGTTCTGCACCTAGATGAGATACAACAAGTAGAAATACTGACTTGCTACCTCTTCCAAAATCTTGGACCAGAGTGATTTTTTCTTCAAACTTCTCACATGCTTCTTTTGACTCTTCAACTCTGCTCTTAAGATTGCAAGGCTGTCTCCTATGTGTGAAATTGGCACAATAAACCAAGTTATAATTGTAACCATTTCGATGGGAAACAAAAAATAGAAGTGAAAGAAATCAAAATTTGCAAACTATGCAAGGATTTGTGGAAAACACTGTTACATGAGGCTAACCACTGGAATTAAGGAGGAAATAGTAATAATTAATTAATTAATTACATACTGAACAAATTTCAGAACTAGTATTAATGTTGCATCATTATTCAACATGGCCACAGCCAAAACTGACCATGGAAAAGTCTACAGTCCTACAAACATACACATTCAAACATATGCAAAGTAAAAACTCAGCACCGTGACCTCATACATTATGGGTGGAATTTAATCTTTAATAAACCCAGTCGTCATCAGAAAAAACAATGGATATATCCAACATAGAATAACTCTCTTAACCTACCAGACCAAAATATGCAGATAAAAGTTTCGTATGACATTGTAAAGGAAATACAACATGCAAGCTACCTCTTTGAGTGGTATTTGAGTTGTCTTCCTCTTGAAGCTTACGCCGATAATCTTGTTCAAATCTGTCCAAGGCATGTAACTCATGATATAATTCCTGTAACCATGAAAAAGGTTTGTCTTTCCTTCAGTAAAGTTCCAAGGAATAGCATCTATCCACCAGTAATTGGCAGTAAGAACATGTTTTGGCACCACCCAGGCTTGTCTAACTATTACTCAAAAAATAAGCAACAAACACACATACAGCAGTCAAAATCATCTACTGCTACACTCAAAACTAGAGTACCCTCCAAAGAGTAATATGCAATAAGCGGGGTGCTCCTCTCCACCATATCCAGCACCCCCTCCCCCTCGATGGAATTAGACACCTAAGAACTCCAATGGTGGGTAAGTAAAGTTAACAGAATTTATGCAACATGCGACCCTTCAGCTGATAGGATGCAGTTAGTGAATGCAGAATGTCTACTAAAAGGTCACATAATGCTTCTGCGACACTCAATAGAGCTAATCCTCTGCATGGAGAAGAACTAAATTTAATCATGTAGCTTGAAAGCCTCCAACTGAATGAGGACTATGATGAGGCTCAACAACGTTTTGAGTTCGAGTCATTAATTGTAATAGAAAGTTTCATACCAATACTTCAGGCAGATTTACCAAATCTTTTTTATTTAACATGCCAGCAACCAAAATCAATTTGACTCAGAATTGACAAATACAAAAGGAAATTTTTCAATTTTAATTATCAGATTCATCAAACATGCACTACAGAAATTTCACATAAACAAATAAACAAAGAGAAACAGCCTCTGCATCTACGAATTACCATAAAGCATTTGATTCAGCTTCATCCCCTCATCATTGTATTCAAGAAATCAGATTTGGCAAGAAATAGCATAACATGAGTTATATCGGAACCTCATGAAAAACAAATTAAATAAAGTAAATTGATCTAATGACATTGTTATTCAATCAATGCTTCCCCAGCGGAAAGGAGAGACAACAAAGAGCATATACTTATATTCTCTTTAACGTGGTGCATGCTATTACATGAACTGCTAAGGTAAGTCAGGAATGCACACAACTCCAACTGAGAGGCTGCAATCTCTTTACGTGTATTAACTTACAGCTGTATTTTGAACTAAGGTCATCAATTGCTGCATCACTGTCTCTGCATCATCCTTCAATTGCCTCTGGGGTGTAATTTCTGAACCCAACCTAAAGTTCGGGAAAAGATAGCATGGCTGGCAGTATGAGAACCTTATCTATGGAGTTAAACAGAACGCACATAAGGAAAATAAACAAGATTTGGTTAAGGTACTTCTCAAAATAGCGATCCAAATTGTGCCATTGAGGATCTTTACAACGATTTCCAAAACGCACTACTTCTCCTGAGAAAACTTTCAGTTCTTCTCTGCAAGAATCGTACCACAAAATTATTAATTCTTCAATGTTCACATATAATTATTCAAGAAATGACATCACATCAAAATTAATAACAACAATATTTACAGCTCATTCTGATTATCCAGAAAATTATAGATGGTAATATTCAATTACCAACCTCTTGTCTGCTGCAGCAATTCTCAGGAGTTCATCCATATCTCTCGATACTAAATTTTGTACCCCTTCTGATGGAAGCACAACCTCTTTCAAATGTTTGATATTATCCTTTGAAAGGGATTGCATTAAATTTGAACCCTTGACAACTGTGTTCGCAACTTCAAAAGCCAAAATCGAAATTTTATTTCCTTTTGTTGTCACCCCTGAGGTAAAACCACTGCTTGGGTTCAAATTTGTCATACTACTACCAAGGGTGTCCAATACTTCCACTGCTTTCCCAATGCCAGCAGTACCAGCCCTACCCAAAAGCGAGCTCACTTCTGATACCTATAAACCAAAAGGAAAAAAAAAAAACAGTTAACAATATTTAACTACAAAGGAATATTATTTACTTCAGTATTGCTTCAATATCTATTTTAAAAACCAACTATCATGTCCTACTGAAATAAAAGACAAAGTACAAGATAAACAGTAAAATTACCATTAGAATATAAGCAATCATGATAAAATGGTAAGTTTTGTCCAATTACATGCACAATGTAAAATCACCAGTGTGTTTTAAAACTCTCATATGCATTGATATAAAACATATGGCTGAAATCAAAGCAAAATTGGGTCATGTTTTTTGTATATGGGCTGGATTCATAGGAGAACTTGTGAAATTACCAGCCCATAAGTGAAACAGTGTTTCACTAACCCTCTTCTTCTCTATTCTTCCTCTCATCTCTCTCTGCCTCCATCATCACTCATTCTCTCTCTTGACAACGTCATCGCACTCGATCTTGTGGGTGTCGTCGCACCCTCATCAATCTCATCGACGTTGTCTGGTCGCTCTTTCATCCCTCTTATCAGATATGGTTCTGCCTAAGATCTCACAGGTGTTGCTTCGTTGTTGCCTCACCATTGGGGGAGAAAGGTGCGGATTGGATTTGGAGAATAGGGTTTTGTTCTGTCACGAGCACCTAGGCTGCGCCTTGCTACTCCTTTTGGGTGAAATGCTCTGCGTTTAAAGCCTGAAGGCATGTGGAAGCTGCCTGACAGAAAGGTGTGCCTCAAGGCTTGCCTCATCCGCGCCTTCTAAAACACTGAATTTTTGTAATTTTCAACTAATACTTTGATGAGTTGATCCAGACACTATAGTTCTTTATCACTTCCATGGTTTTCCTCATTACTTTCTTTCTTTTTTTCCCAGTAGAAACTAGATTTTAATAAAATTGATAAATCATCCAAGCAGACAAATAACATATCCCTTCCCTTACAGTCCAACAGCTCTCCAATCACAAAAAACTAAAAACTAATACAAGCAAACAAAAAATAAAATTGGGATTTCCTTAGATTATGAAGAGACAAAAACCCACAAGGATGATCAAACTCCATCCTTTCCCCTATAACTGACAAAAATCCTTCTACTTCTCTCCATTCACACTACCCAAAAAGGCATCCTTCACTCAACACCTCCATAAAACTTCAGGCTTTAACCCTTTCCCAAAAGCCTATATGCTTCTTTAATCATGCAGTACTACTATCTAATAACATGTTCGACCTATTTATTCAACAAAAGGCAACACTCTGGAATAAGCCCAGATAAGGCCTGATTTTGAATGGGATTTTTACTTTATGAATCAACTTCTAGAAAATTGTGTTCAAGGGGATGTTATTAAGCACACAAATCTCTACTCTCCATGGAAAAGTATCTAGAGCAACCACCAAGTATAGGATCTTCAATTGGAATGACACTTTATAACTGGAAAGCAAGCCCAAAAATAGGGCCTTCAATTGAAACAACATTTTCATCTTTTATGTTACATGGGAATGATGGGAAGAGCAAGATGGAAACAAGTCGTGAAAAAGCAAAATCAGATTAAATGGAAGTTTAATGCATTGTTCTTTTGGATCCTTATAGACGAGGCCGAATGACTTCCTATATTCTTTTGGTAAGAATTTCTTTCTAAATGAACTTGAGGAAAATACAAACCATCTTTTTGGTGTCTTTAGTATGAGATTCATCATGCTCTTGTCTTAAAAATGAAACAGGAAAAGGCTAAACTCATTTCCCACTGTTTCTCACCTCTATGGTAAGAAGAATGTTGGAAGGTTTTCCCTCCTGCTTAACACCACTTCACTAAGTATCCAAATACAGAAAGAATTTTCATGTTGAAAGTATTTCACTTCCATTATCTCCATGTCTACTGAACTACCTCAATCCAAAAGAACAAGGGGCAAATGATGGGCAAACTTTTATCTGTATATCCCAAGTCAAAGGGTCCCAACGATATAAGCCACAACCAACATGAGACCTTCTAGTCCGTGTTTCAAAATAGTACATTCTAAGTAAGGCCTATTAAAAGTCAACACAAAATGTAAGGACTCATCAACTGGCATCCTTGCAACACCTTACCATCCTCACTCTGATTATTACACTCTTTAGAGTAGAAGCTCCATAACAACTCAATATGGAAGGGTTTGTGATTCCGTGCTAAAGAAAACAAAATGTGCATCCAATAACCATTCATACCACACAATTTCAAATTATTCATTCGACCACAACAGAGGCAAGAAAAAAAAAACTAGCATATCAAAGTCAGGATTACCTTTGCAACAGCCTGCTTAGATTTGGTAGATCTATTTTTCTGCGATAAGGCCCTCGACAAGTGAGGAATCCCATCATTGACATCATCTGTAATCAGCCCATAAGGAACCATACTATTTGTCTCTGGCAACATAAACGGGTCTCGCAATTTCTTATCCATGCCATCACTAACCGGAGACGGTGTTGAATTCGTATTCGTTTTTGGAGGCAGACCACGAGACCCATTACTTGAATGGCCATTAGCAGGAGGAATGCTTCCACTGGGAGCATTATTTACAGTGACATCGTCTACAGTGGATCTCCTCGACTTGGAGCACATCCCACCCATTGTGTTGATAAGCCACAAAGTATATTTCATACAAAATCCAGGACAAGAACTTCAAGCCTTTTCAAGAGTAAGAACCAAAACAACTCCGACTATTGCTATCTATAAGAAGCTCAAGATTGTAGTAACTAGTGACCAAATCGGAAGCATACTTAACGAGTTCTGAAATCAGAATGATCTAATCCAAAGCTGTGGAATCAGTATTATGGACATTCATGTTTAACATAGACTACCATAGACCCAATTCCGATCACTGTTGGAGTTCCAGTCCAGCAACCATGGGTGACGAAGCTGCCAATCAAGAAAAAAGCCGAAACCCATTAATCAAAAATATTCATAAACATCATAAAACAACAATGAGAGGGAAATCTGCAAACAAAAAACAAACCAACATCCAAAAATTAGATAAAATGCATAATTTGAGATTTTACAAATAGTTTCAAAGCAAACCCAGCAAGAGTAGTTAGAAATTTTACCAGTTAGGGACAGAGATTCTGGGCTTACAGCTGGATCTATGAGAAGATGGAAGAGATTCTGGATTGCACTACTTTCCAATAGGTTCAGGAAAACCAGATGATTATGACAGTGATGGTGATAGGAAAGGAGAGACAAGTTTTCTTTTGTTTTTTTTTTTTTTTTTTTTTTTAGTATAAGAGTTGCAAGAGAGCTACAGTAGAAAAGAGGCTGGGCAGAGCAGAAGAAGAAGAATTGCAAAAAGGAAAAAAAAAAAAATACCCAGCAAAGAGCAACAGTGAGTGAGTGTAGGTTTTTCACTCTCAGTTTCAACCTCTCAGCTTCAGTCTCTCTCTCTCGCTTTCTCTCTCTAGGTCTGGTAAGTGGTGGCTCTGGCACAAAACAGTCTCTTTATCTGTGTGAGAGAATAGAAAGGGGAGGTGGTCAAAACCCAAAGTCACCAACCGGCCACTGCTAATTAAACATTACACCAGTTTATAAGGAAAACCTATGTCTTTCTATTACACTGTTGGTGTTGGATGATGAAAAGATGTTTTTGATAAAATCATGAAAATTTTGCACCCAAAACAAATGAAAATTTTTCCATTAATATTTCACCCCAAGATATGTAACCATTAGTAAAAAGAAAAAAAATTCAACTTGTTTTTCTACTTGACTTTTTTTTAATATAAGTTTTTCTCCTGGACTTTAACAATGATTTTAAATACCCAAAAACAATTCACTTATAGTTTATCACTATGCACTTGGAGACGACTTTGAGTACCACACCTTCTTTCCAATCAGATTCTCACGCTCGACTCGACCGTAGTTATATTCGAAGTCTAAAATACAGAGAGTTTTGGAAATATTAGTAGTCTAAAAATACGGATATATCAATAGAAATATAGATGCAATATCGATATTGATATAAATTTAATAAAAATCACAGAAATTATTAGAAAAATTTGGAAATTTTTATTGAAACTTTAAAGGATGTTTACTTAGTCGATTGTCTATTATTTTATCACAAAAAATTAGAAGAAAATGTATGACATGGTGGGTTTGAGTTATTTAAGTTGATTATGTAGCGACTTGATAAACACTGTGACTTTAGAAAATCTATAGTAATTAGCGAAAGAAAATTAAACACCATAATTTTTTAGTTATAATAATTTACTACAACATATTACACTTGATACATATGATAAAATATATGAGCTTGACCAAAAAAACAAAGATAAAATATATGAGTAACTTAGTAACTTAGTACCACATAGTATCACATATAATGAACAATATTAAAACTCAATAGTGAATAATAATACACCTCCATAATATATAACCAAAAATAATAATAATAATACAACTCCATAATAAAACAATAAATAACATTAAACATATGCCTAATTTTATCCTTAGGGGATTTTTTTTTATATGGAAATTTATCCTAGATAATATTAGCTTGCAGAACTTTTTAAGACCTTATAAATATTACATGTCATAGCTATATTCACAAACTCATCCGCAGTGAGTTGGATAAGGCACAATAGGTGGTTGGGAAAGGAAGGGGTTCGAACCCCCCTGCGTGCAAGTAGGGGTGGGCACGGTCCAGTTTGATCCGATTCTCACCTCAAATCGAATCGGTTCGGTCCAATTTGGTCTGATTCTCAGCTCAAGTAGGGGTGGTCTGGTTTTAGTGAATTTTTTTTTTTTTGGAACTAGTCAGTCCGGTTCTCATCGATTTCGGTATGGTTTCCCCTTTTTCCAGTTTTGAACCATATTATTATTATTATTATTTTAATACAAATTCTAACTAAAATTTTATTTTTTGGGCTTGGAAATTAACAAATGATTCAATTTCATACAAAATGAGATGTTTTGAAGTTGGAGTTGGAAAAATATTAGTTATAAGATTAAAAATGTACAATTAGATTTAAATAATTTTGTTATTAAAAAAATATACACAATAGGTCCGGTTTGGTGCGGTGTGAAATCGGAATCGGAATCAGTCTGGTCCGGTTTGGTACAGGTTTGTTGACTTTTTTAGTCAACGGGTTTTTTTCCCCTTCTTTCATCTAGTTCGATTCGGTATTCCGGTTTTTCAGTCCCAATGCCCACCCCTATTTGCAAGTGCAAGAGCGAATTTCGCAACATTTTTCATTTATTTTTCAGTTTCATTTCGATAATATCACAATATTTGCCCAAATAATGCATGAGCGTGTAGGAAATTATCACCTCCGACATTATCGCAATAATATCGACAAAAACGTTGATATATTGATGATAATTAAGTGGATATATGCTAAAATATCTCCCGTTAAAAAAAATGAGATATTTCATACTCTGGTTATATCTACTCAATTGGTTTTCTAAAATTTCTTTTGTTTTTTTTAAATTAATTTTTTACTACAACTTTATGTTTTGTTTCAAATTTTAAAAATGAATTTTAATTATGAGTGGCCAATAAACTTTTCAAAAGTCCTTGTTTCAACTTTCAAATTAATCAATCTAATCCTTAATCTTTTAGTCCGCACATCAATTTGGTCTCTCGCATAGACATGTTTGATTGTATCACTACTTCATCTCCTTTATTGGCTTGTTTTTTTAATTCTATGTCTATGTTTGCTCGGAGTTACTTCACTCAAGTCTATTCTTTTGGGTTGTCCATTTTGGCTAAGTAAATAGACACCTTATGTGTTTTAATAAAAATATCTTGAAGAACCTTACTCAAACCAACACTGATAATTAAAGATAGTTGTTAATGAAGATCTTTTGTTGGAACTATGGGGAAAGTTTTGTTAGGCCTCCTCATGTGAAAGAATTTTTTCTTTAGATGTTTTGTGTATGCCATATTTTTCTAGGCTCAAGCTAATCACAAAAAGAAAAGGAACCACACTCGTTAGGTATATAGCAGATATTAAAGACTGGTTTAGACTCTAAATTGAGTATGCTATTAGAAGTATTGGTGCTATGAAAGCTCCTGGTCCAATCCAAACCAATTTATATCATAATTTTTGGTCTAATGTTAGGGAGCATGTTGTAGAAGAAGAATACTATTTGGTTTAATGACGTAGCAAGATATAAGGGAATAGAGAGATCAAATGATAACCCTAAAGTAACAATGTATGAATCCACCAATAAACTGGAATCTACTAGAAAATTGAGTAAAACTCAAAGGTATTTGATTGATAATAAGATGGATAAACTGACAAATACAACGCCATGAGTTGACTTAAATAGAAAACAAAGAAACCCTAGGTTCTAGAATAATTCTAAATTCAGCTAACAAGAAAATAATAAAAATCCTTGCTAAAATCATATTAGGAAAATAATATCCTAATAGATAATTTATTCTTAAAAATATTAAATTAAATACAAATCTTGACAAAATTATAATTACTTCAAACTTCCTCAATCAATATGAAAATCCCAATTATACGCCTTCCTTTTTTTCCCAGCGCCACAATTGACATTTAATTGGAGTTTTCCTCTCTTGCACGATTTCCTTCCAACTTTGAGAAACTTTATTTTAATTAATTTTTCCCACTATAATTGACACATTTTTCATCCTACATTAAATATTGTTGTGCATTATTCATTTCACAAAGAAGAATATATATACACGTAGGATTACAATCCTAATCACATTATCGATGAAGTAATTACATGACTATATTATGAAACCCAATATTATAAGGAATTACATAAAATATAATATAAAAGTCAATAACCCCCCTCAAGTTGGTGCATAGATATCACTTATGCCCAAGTTTTCTAAGAACTTCGAAAAACATGACTCGATACAGCCCTTGTAAGTATATCAACCAATTGGTCTTATATCCTGATTACAAGCACTTCAACAATTTTATCATCCAACTTCTCCTTAATAAAGAACCTGTCAGTCTCAACGTATTTCGTCCTATCATGTTGCATAGGATTATGAGCAATATCATGAGCATCTTGATTACCACCAAATAACTTCATCGGTTGATGAGGTGCAAAACCCAAATATTATAACAACAGTTTAAGCCATAAAATCGCACAAATTCCAATTTGCCATACCTCTATCGAAAGAGAGAGTTGGAGAGATAAAAAATAATAATCTAAGAGGGACAGAAACTATATAGGTGCTAGAAAATTAAACAACTTGTTGGTACCTATGGATATAAAATAAGTAAGGGAAACAAAATGCTTAAAAGGAAACCTTAAATGTCCTTAGTCCAATCAAACTACAAGTACTCAATCATGTAGGTCAGTACATTAACAAATGACCCAATACCATACATAGTCAAATTACCTCATACTCAACAAGTGACACGTAAATTACATGCAACTATGCCCATCCTGCCTATTCCACATTTGTCCAACCGTAAGGTCTTCCATCAAAGACTATCACGCTTAAGATAAATGTTATATATTCCTAATCAATTAGAAATTAATCAAACCAAGCTAGAATGAATTCTGCAGGACGTGTGATTGGCACCAAAGAAATTCCAAATCATTTTCATACAGCCTACTCGGCCAAAACACACAAATAATGTATTTATTAATTTTTATTTATTCAACAACAGTCATCCATAAGATGTCAATGACAATTTTGGTCCCCCTTTAAGAGTTGTTCATTTCTATCGTAATCATGGTTGTAAAGTACTCCTATAATTATAATTTTTTCGATTGGAGTAGATTGTCAAAATTTGAAGATAATTTTTCGATTCAGAACATTAGCCTAAAAGTCAGCCCACCTCATTTTCTAATCCTCGATTTGTGCCTTCAACCAATACTATACATCATTACTATTCTTGTCCAATCAACATATTTATCTTGACATTCACATACATTGACAATTGCCAAACTTCATTATAGACTCTAACATTCTCGGTCTTGGTAGCCATATGAACACCAGAAATTTATTGCAAATAAGGTCAAGGACAAGGACATATATGTCAAGGTAAAGAAAGGACTATTTTTTTTTGGGTTTACACAAATGCGACCAAAGAAGATGTAGTTTTCAGCGTTTAATAATGAGACCCATGCTTTCTTGTAAGCAATGCTATGCTATGCTTTGTCTTTGCTTAAATCCAAAATCAGTTGCAGGACTTCCTTGTAGCTTTATGATTAGCTCTTGTCGGGTCAACTGAGGAGTCATGAGATGTAGGGTTCTTCGAAAATGATGGACGTGAAGTTTAACATTTGGATTCTTCTTATCTGAGCACATAATGTGTGTACCCTTATGTGTATCACTTTCATCAAATAAATCTTGACCGTCCATCTTTTCAATGTTTTTATGATGCCATTTTCAGATCATGGCCCACATGCATTGTAATGGTATTGTATAGTGCCTGTCTCGATTTGTAAATTAGAAATGATGTCTTGCCATTGTTTTCAGTAAGACCAAGTCAAGTGCGTACCTTTGAAGATCAAACGACTTTAGGAAAAATTCTTTGGGCCTTTTTTATTTTCATCTCAGGAAAGGAGTCAAACTTAGCCACACAAGAAAAATGTTGCTTTATCCTCTTAAAAGCACATAGAACATCACTACGAATAAAACTTGCATATCACGGGTATAAATGCTCTTTTTTCATCTTTCTCCTCACATAATGAGTCATATGTGCAGTCAAATTTTTTCCGACATTGAGAGACATGTAAAGAGAAAAGGAGAGAAAAATAACTGTTTCGAAGTAGAATCACCAAAAACACAGAAACATAGATAGGATGGTGGTGCTTGGTCAAATTGCTTACAAACAATAATAAAATGATTTCTATGCTGCTATATAATATTGTATAGGTATATGCATATTTTGTGTGTGATTAAAATGTCACTTTCTGTGCAATTTTTATCAGGAATTAAGGCTAGACATGATGTTGAAACTTTGGTCATATTGTAATAATTATGAATGGTATTCTTCCTATAATTCCATCCGTTGTCACTTGTGTATATAGATATGGATAAAGCATATAATATTTTATATGGAAACGTGTAAATAGATGCAAGGTCTTAAAGATTGTGCAAGACTCAGACAATTTCTCGTCCGAAAATGGTGCCACTCTTTGACTTCCATCAAAACAAAAAGCTTACCACAGCCAACAAGTTAAGCAAGTTTTACGGACAATATCAGGTGGGATCCTGCTAGAGTCTAAAGTGTGGTCAAGATCTGCTTAAGCATCAGCAACTACATGAAAAGTACTTTGGGTCTTACACTACCAGAAAAATTTGTGTGAAACGGGAATATTATTGGTCAATCATAAACTGTCACGTGTGGTATATCTTGATCGACCGGAAATAGTAAAAGAGTGTTATCTCCATTTTACATAAATGTTTCTCTTTATACTAGACATACTTCAAGTGTGAAAATCGAGAGTCTCTGTTTGATGATCTTGTGCATTCTCCAAGACCAAGACATTCAGACTCGCATAACAATTTTTTTTTTCTTACAATCTATAACAATTTATAGTCTCTCAAAAATTTTATACTTGCGAATAACACAGACTATTAAAAGTTATCATAATTTCAAATTTCATGTATTGAATTCTATTTGAGTTATCTCTCTCATGTTCAATTTGACTTATAAGTTTATATTTTTATAAAATGACAAGTACTGGTGAGGGATGATTCAAATTTTGAGTGTCGGGTGCAGAAGTAAATGCATCGCTAAACTTACACATGCCCACATGATCTTGATGTTTTCGGATGTCTGAAAATCGAGTTCGATGAATTATAAGCCCTTGCTAGAACTCTGGGTTTAGTTTCTGATGCTCAAGTATAACCGCGTTTAGATGTTCCAAACACTTGTTAACAAAACGTGTACGCAATTTCTGAAGGTGAAGCTAATCTAAGCAAGTCCCCTTTATTTAGCAAGGAGTGAGTCAACTGTTATGAGTCTCTCAACCGAATGGATTTAGATGGTCAAAATATTGGGAGCCTAAAGCAAAACGAGGACAAGTTTTATCAAATCCCTAATTACACTCCACCTCTATTTATATCTTCTTCATGGTTATGCAATTATCTCTCTACAAGTCTAAAACACTATTACAACGAAAGGGAGAGAGTATGAACTAGAACAAAGAGAATTAGAAAATTTTCCAATCAATATTTTCAACCGAATTCAATGCACATGCTAAAAGTCCAATTCTCTTAAAACTAATCTCATAATAATGATAAAAAAATTCTAAAATACTCTTAATATAGGAAGCCCTAATAATTAGACCCTAATTTTTGTTTTTAATAATGCCAAATGAGGAGTAAAGAGGGATAGGCAAAAAGACAAATAAAAACAAAATAAAAAAACCGAATTTTTAACTCCTTCCATGCTTAAGAAGATAGATACAAATCTTCTTACATTCATCATCCAAATTAGGAATCCACATTCACAAAACCCATATTCTGCCATCACACAAAATCTCCCCCCATGATATGAAATCATAAAGTCTTAAAATCAAATTAGATGTCTAGATAGAAAAGTGAAAGTAATTAGCTCGTGTTATGGCCGGACCCTCTTAATGGCCTTTGCACTAACAAAAACAAACAAAAAGGAAAAGAAAAAAAAATGTTAACCAGGAATAACAATTAGCAATGAATAGAAACTCATGAGTATCAGCGTTATATGATTTAGACATACAGGATTGACTTGTTGGAAAGGCCTAACTATTGAGATCCCTAGTGCCTTCGTGTTAAAAAAAATCATGGAACAGATGATTCGGGGAGACTTAATTAGCTGTTAGCAGCACTATTGGTTCCACCAGAATAATGATGCATCACACAGTTCTTCAATAAGCAAGTAGGTGGACCACTTCCAGCATTATGGAGCATTTCTGCTATTGATCAAGCTGCCACAAAAATACCAGAAAGCAGCAAATTTATTCATGATTAACACTAGAGCTACATGTCAAAATGTTCTACAAACGTGCTGACCAAAAAAGCTATTACGCCATTCTAACCATGCTGTGGACACTCTTCTTTTAAAACACAAGAATTTAACAGTAATAATGGGAATACCTCTTTTGAGCTCATCTGAGACAAGGTCTTCCAATTCATCAACGATGGCAGAATAACAGAAAAAATATTGCTCCTAATGAACCACAAATTGGAGAGAGTTGGAACAATTCTTGTAAGAAAATGTTGGCACAAAACGAGACAGACAACAGTATTCTGAAATATTTACAACAAAACAAACCAGTACTCTGAAATATTTGTGACATTTTCTATCAAAATATTAGGATTAAGCAGTTTAGATAAGATTCAAAATCCAACCAAAACCTCCAAAATTCAGCAGAATTGAAGTGCCATTCTCTAACACTCTGATTCTTTTTTTCCTAGATTGACTTCTACGAAACTCTTGTTAAATTCTGGTTTGTCTTAATCATTTATAGATTTTAACCAACAGAGTTTTTAAGCACAATGATACCCTCAAAAAATTTGGGTCAGTAACTTCAGCTCAGGTACTAACCCTCATAAGTAATCACAGAACAAACTCACTAACAGCAAAGCTTATGGCATCAACAAGAAAATGCCCTAAAGTAATGAGATGTATTCAAAAGCACCAAGGAGGCACAACCCATGTACACAAAAAGCGTACTTGGGGAAAAATTAGTGTAAGGAAACTAAATTGTCTACAAGAGAAATAAAAAACGTTGAAGAATTTCTGAGTAACTGGTAGATTTATCATTTGCCAATGAATTGGCCCAGATTCGACCAATAATGGGATTCTTGAAATAAAAAATGATGAAGAATTCAGTGAAGTCCATCTAAAAAGGGGTAAAATGCGCTTTAGGTCACTGTGTTTTGCCCCGAATTCAATTTTGGTTCACCATGTTTCTATTTCTCCCCATTTCGTCACTGTGTTTCATTCCGTCCACAAATCCAGTCCAATTGCGAACATCCCTCCATTTACGCGCACATGCGTGGCTATTTTAGTATTTCGCCACACTCGTTCCCAATTCCTCCCACCATTCTGGATGCAGGTGCACTTCCAAGTGTTAGATTCATCAATTTTCTAATAATTTTCCACATAGTATCTAGTAGCCATACTCTCAGGGGCGGAGACAAGGTCCTCTTTAAGGGTGCATCAATATATTATTTTAACACACTACAATTTTGACAAAGCCCAAAATTTCTAACAATAAATTTCAAGAAATACAAATATTAAAGAAACAAACAAAAATTGTAATTACAGTTAGAAAATTATGAAACAAACATTGTGGTTTAATTCATGACACTTACAAGTTACACCTCATGCGGTTTGCTGAGGGACGTCACATTTTAGTTTTTTTTTTAAATTTTAATTAAAAATAGAGAAAGGGAGATTGAGAGGATAGTGAGATGTGAGATGAGAGATGATAAAACTAAGGGGCCATTTGGTAACAATTTAGTTTTTAGTTTTTATTTATTTATTTATATTTTATTTTTGGTGAAAAAAAGTTTATGGGGAGAGGAGACTACTCCATCCCAGGGTCAGGGCATACCAAGACCTCTTTGAGGACTTGTAGAGGGGGTCTTAGCCCATTTTTTGGTTTCTACAGATCACCCACCAAGGGGGATTGTCGGCAGCGGGACTCGAACCTAGGCCTTGATAGCAAAGAGAACGATCCTTACCAACTCAACTAACCCTCGTTGGCAAGTTTTTATTCTTCAGTTTAAGATAGGGAGGAAATGAATGGAATAAAAGAGGGAGGAAAAGGAGGGAAGGGATGGAATGGAATGGTACCTAAAATAAAAACCAAAAACTAAAAACAATTTCAACTAGTTATTTCTTTCAAGGTTTTACTTCATTTCTCCCTTATTCCTCCCTCTTCCTCCCAAACATTGCTTCTCTGTCTTTAACTAAAAAGCATAAACAAAGGCGTTACCGAACAGGGCCTAGAAAGTAATTTTAAATAGTTTTTCATTTACTCTTTTCTGCTTTACGCAATCTATCTTTTGGGAGTGAAAGATACCACCATGGTGTTGCCATGCAATATATTTATAGGCCAATGAGAATTTCCATTTTGTACAGAAAATTACTGTGAGATAGGAATCGGATAATTCATATAATTTCCATTTTGTTTAGCATTTACTGATGTTTTTGACATGTCGTGTATTCTACTATGAAAGCTGCAAGAATTTGCACGTAATGAATAACTCAACCAAATAAAGTTGGTATTAATTATAAAATAAGAGAGTAATTAAACCAGACAAACAAGGAAGAAGATACCAGTGTTTGGACCATTCCAATTCGCTGAGACCTAAATGTGGTTACTGTATCAACGACATCTAACGCAGACATGTCCCCAGCTAGAATTCTTTGGACTGTATTATGAATTGTGCAGTATGTTCCAGTTCTCCCAATACCTGCACTGAGCAAGAGAACAAGCGTGTCAGGCAAACATTTATATATAATTTACCAAACATCATCGAGACATATATGAAAGTCATAAAAAAGAGTTTTAACCTGCAGTGCACCACAATGGGGCCAAGATTTGGTGGTACTTGATATAGTCTTTTCAAGATTTCACGGACAGCAATACTGTCCTCGGGAACTCCATGGTCAGGCCATTCAGGATACTGAATATGCAATACAGACATGGGTGGTTCCTCTGACTGCAACAATGACAAGTAATAATGAACATCTGAGTCTACAGGTCAACAGGACTGCATCAAAGCATATGTATATATATATATATATATATATATATTATTAATTAAAAGAGAAGAAGGCTCCCAATGCCTTCTTATATTAAAACTGCCCAATGTAAGGAACATGATAAGAATCAAAAAGTGAAGTCTTATTTTATTTTCACATGAATGTAAACGGAAGACAAAAGGTCAGGCATCTTAAATCAATTTCTAAATGGGAAAAAAAGAGAAAGGAGAATCTCCAAAACCAAACTTTAGACAACTAAAGGTCATACGTAAATACCAAACAACATAACAAGGCCCAAAATAAGTGCCATATACTGCTACCACATTCAGATCCTTCAAAACGACTCACGCATACACTCCAAACTCAAATTCAGTCAACTAAAGATGAAAGGCCTTAAACTAGCGCGTCTAGTAATCATTGTTCTCAGACACTACGGAAAAGGAGAACATGTCATAATTCAAAAGTTGTTATTAAGCAGAAATGTGCATCGAACAGTCAAACAGAGTCCAGGCAGAAATAATATAAAAAAATCTGTTTGGAAATCGGGAGATCAGATCTCTTGTTCTTTATTCTTCTTCTCTTTTCTTTTTGGTTATTAACCTTCAGAATGCGATGTAGTAAAGATAAAATTTGATGCAACAACTCATGAATGACTATGAATTAATATAAAATAAAAAGAAAGATCTTACTCTGCTTCTAACCCATCACACACTATTACATCATTCTGACATTAATTGCAAGACATTCTTAAGGCTAATGCCTGAATGAAGTCATAAGCATGCACACAGTATTATAAAATTTTGACATCAATTTCATAACATTCTTAAAGCTAATGCCTCACTAAAGTTATAAGCAAGCCTAAAGTGGAAAGAATTTGCTCTGTTTCTTCTAACCAATCAAGCACTATTACATCATTCTGACATTAATTGCACAACATTCTTAAGCCTAAAGGAAATAAGACAACTGATATCGCTTAAGTTCTAGTTACTTTACTATTCATCTAACAGACATATATATCCTGGACAAGAATGCAAATTATGCAATGCCTTACCTCTTTATAGTTCGCCTCTAGAAGGCGCAATTCTAACGAAGTTTCAGTAGTTCTTAGCCACTTAGTGGCTAGACATATATTACCGAATTCTCTAGGGCCATCTTCAGCCTGAAAATAATCTCCACACTTAACCATCTGCAAATGCATGGGAAAAGATTAAGAAATTAGGATAAAATAATAATGGTAAAGTTTTGTACAATTATTGATCCACCTAATCTGAAAATGAAATTGTTGTTTTACAATCAAAAGCATATGTCACATAAATTCAAGAATCAGTAGGTAGGATCTTTCAGAAAGGGTTGTAAAACCTAGAATACAGCTGCTTATTCCAGTTTTGCAGGTACGAATGTTTTGCTATGAAGAAAATATGTCACATAAATTCAAGAATCAGTAGGTAGGATCTTTCAGAAAAGGGTTGTAAAACCTAGAATACAGCTGCTTATTCCAGTTTCGCGTGATAATCGAAGTCTCTATAACTGTATATTTTCCAATGAGAAGATGCCCAAGAACAAGTATCTGCAACTCAAAAAAGGAAAGTACCCTGTAATTGTCGACCAGGCGAGTAAGCATGATGACCACAGGGCAACGCTGCTCAAGTACCATCTCCCAGAAGTCCTCGTAGGTGTGCGGAAGTGGACCTTGTGTTGCTACAAACCGGGAAATGCTTTCAGAGGAACTAGTCTACAGTTAAGAACCATTACTGAACAGTCATTAATGTGTTGCTAAGCTGCCTACTATATCATTTCTAATTCCAAACACAAATACAATTATTTATCTAGAGAACATAATTTTTATACCGAGATAAAGCTGGCATTGATGTAGCCCCTTGCTGAAGGTCTGTAATCCTTACAGGAGTTGAGAACAACCCTATTTGTGTCAACTGAATTTTCAACAACAAAAAACCAAACCCAACTATGAAATCAAATTTTTGAGCATGTAAACTGTGAAATGTTAAAAATAAAATAAAAACCCAGATTGAAACATACATGGTAAGACATCGGTGTATCGGTTTTTGCTCAAATTGACACTATCAAGAGCCACAGTGCAACTTCTCTTCATATCAGATGATGTTATCCTCTTCGCCTAGCATTGATGAGAAATTTTAATAAATTTATTTTGTGAAAAATTAAAAACACAAAGAGCAAAAAAGACCTGTAGCTGATCGAACTCCTGGTGGATATGGTCAGAAGTCTGGAGCTTGTCTTTGAAGAACTTGAGAGCCTGAGAGCAGTACTTGTACTGATCGGGAGTGAGGACCAGTCTGAGTGGCGGAGAATCGGCCGAGAAGTCCAAGGAAGGGAGGGGTTTGGCTGCGGCTGAAGACGCGGTGGCCGCCATTGCCGTCGGTCTCCGGTGGCTGCGGGAGCGCCTGGAAATGACGTTCCCCAGTTTTTGGGGTTTTTGGTTTTTGGTGGTCAGAATTTGATTTGATTATTTACTTGTTGCTATATTGTAAAATTATTATCTTCAGAGTTGCGATTTGTATTGAATTGAGGGGATTGGTTATGATCTGGTTTAATTTGGTTTCGTCTCCCAAAATAGCAGCCAAATCAATCCATTGGGTTTAGTTTGGTTTGAGGTAAAGTCATTGGACAAGCCAAGCCAAGCCAAACCAAATCATTATCGGGTGGGTGGTTCGATTTGGAATTTTTTTTTTTCCCCTTCTTTTTATTTATTATTTATTATTTTAAATACAAAGCTATATTGAGACAGGGTGTTAGGATCTTAGGTCATCTCCAATCATGAGCTATATCCCAAATATAGCCCTAAAATAATGCAAAATCCATCTCCAGTCATGAGTTAAACAAAATTTTGGTCAAATTTGGAGGGCCACATTTGACCCCTTAACCCTCTAATCGGGTCACATTTAGCCCAGTTTTGGCCTAGTCACAGGCCAAA